GCTGCCTCCCTCAGCGCCGTGGCCGCAGCCCGCTGAGCTGTTGCCCCGCTTCTCTCTGGCTCCGTCTTCTCTCGCTGTGGGGTGTTCTGGGGTGCGTCCGGCGTGAAATCCCTTCGCGCGGTTTGGCGCCGCTTCCAGCACCCCCTTCGTGTGCAGCGGGTGACTAGTAGCGGGTAGCTCTGTGTCCGGTGAAACGTGCGCCGTGTGTTTGTTTCTTATAAACTTAGAACAGGTCAAATGGCGGGAGTTACTTATGTAAGCGGTTCGTTACCGTGATGCTCGCCTCGTTATTTGTCCTGCTTGTCTAATCTTCCTGGCTCTGCCAGCTGTTTGCTAAAGTGTTTACGTGGCCAAGAACGGCAAAATGCGCCGCGTGCCACGAAAAAAGCCAAGGAAAGAAGTTGTTCTGGAAGTATTTCTAGTGTTCTCTGGCCGCATTGCATAATGGCGGTGGATGCGGCTAAGTGTGAAGCTGCCCAGTGGCCTCTGCTTCAGTCCTCCTGGATTTCCTCTTCAGCCCTGCCGCCGAGGGCGTGATGTAGGCCAGTATCGGGAACCCTGTCGGAACCGGGAACGGCTTGAGGGCTGCTAAGAGTCAGAGGTTAACAACCTCTCCGGTGCAGCGGGAGAGGGCAGTGTTGGTCCTGTGGGACGGACTCCTCTCGGCGTTTCAGATTTCCCCCTCAAGTGGAAGGGGAATATCCGAACTTACACTGTGTAAGAGCCAGTACAACAGGCAGGTTTATCCTAGGAGCAAACGTGAGCTTGCCTACGCTCAAAAGCCGAGTTCGTGGTGCTAGAGTCATTTTTTCAGTGAAGAGCAGGCAGGTATCTGCTGAAGGGGAGAGCTGGGGAGCTTGCTGTTGTCCCATATAAAGACCCTAGGGTAGCCTTTCACAGCAGCAGTAGCATTGGGAGAACATCTGACGCCCTGCCGCTGATTCTGAAGTTAACAGCTCGTTCTTGAAACCTTTCACTGTGATAGAGACGTCTCCTGATCTTTTACTCCTGCAAATCTGTTCCTCCCCCGTGCTAGGCTGAGAAAGCTGTTTTGAAAGTAAACTATAAGTCTTAGTGCACTCGGTGTTAGCTGGCTGCGCTGACTGACCTCCTGTCTCCACAGATGTACTGTGCTAAATTTTCTATGTACCAGTAAGGAGTTTACAAAAGTTCATTTGTTAGAAGTGAGTGTGGTGTGTTCTGTGGTCGTTCTTCGGATGTGCCCAGAATACAAACTATTTTTTTTTTTTTTGTGAAATCTGTTACCCAGAAACTGTCATATAGCTCTTGAAGTGGTTTGAGTGCCTTATTTCTGAAGGGAGCAGGGCAAGTCTGTTGCATACCTCACTGATGCAAACCGACAAAGGTTTTTCCTGTGTCCTTAGGTTTCTTGAAAGTGAAGAAATAGCACCAGAATTTCTAGCCTGATTGTACCATAACAATGAGAAAAGCCAGGTGGATTAAGGCTTATTTCAACTTGGGAGAATACTGAAGTTAGCTGATGCATTTGTAGCTGTTGAGATGTAAATTACCATACTGATTGCCAAAGATCTGTGCATGGCAGTGTTCCCTTCACTAGGGAGCAGAGTGGAGAAAGGTCACCCAAAGGTGCCTGGAGTAGGTGGACATGATGTGAAATGTGCTGCAGAGTATGCAGGGTAAGGAGTTGTGGGTTGTATGTGGGTTTTCTGAGTATAATAGCTGTATGAGTAAGCCTTAATTAAAACTAATGCAGTAAAATTGTAGATTGGGAGAAGATCTTATTTCATCCAGATAGTGGATGTGTTGTCGTTGTGGTTTTAAGGCAACAATGTTTGGCTGAGATTGATATTAAAAAAAAAGCAGTCAGACCGGTTAGGTTGCTGGCTTCTGCTGTGATCAAAATATTAATAGATCGACTTTCTGGTCTCCTTTATGTGCATTTGTATATGAAGTCCTCTACGTTCTTGTCTTTGTTTCCTATACTGTGATTGCTTTCTACTGTAGGGTTATTTATAGCTGGCTGTATTGCCTAAAGGGAAAATGTAATCAAAAGGAACAAGCCTCTTACCATCTGGGGTTTCAATGAACTTCTGCAAAATCAATTTGGTGGACTTTGGTAACTTCACTAGAGTAGTATATCTTCTATTACTTGACTTCACTATAGGTTTAGAGGTTGTGTGAGGCAAAGTCTTGGTGTGGGGTCTGGTTTCGAAGTATTGGTGGTGTCTAGAGGGAAATGTATTTGTGTCTGTCTTGTCAAATGCATTCCTAAATTGTAGCTTTCAGTTGTAGTTAGTTCAGTGAGAAGGATTATGCCTTAATCTGGGAGATGTACATACGGGAAGGTACGGATCTAAGAGTTGTTTCTGTGGGTGGTAATTTTGTCCTAATCAATGCATTTCTTTTTTTTTTTTTAGGCATCTGTGAAAACATTTCTAACTGCAGTTCGTGTATTGGTAATGACACACATGTAGCAGGCTGCAAGTGGATCAGATGTGAAAGTAAGGAGGACTACACAGTGCAGATCCTTACTATGCCATGCAGAACCCTAAACCTGACTAGACCTGCTTCATCTATATTAATGTGCATTACACAAATGTTCTGTTTGATAATGTTATGGAGCATTAACTTGTAAGTTGCATCTGTTGTTAAACATTTGCAGTTCTTACGTGGAGACAGCTGAACATGTTCAAAATAATCCCAGATTTTGTAAGGCTTCTGATTTAAATCTGTGCTGTTGATAAGCTAATGTTTTCCAGATGGTTCAGAATGGGTTTTGCACCAACTAGTCACTTGTTTGCTGTTAAGGAGTCATGAGTGGATTCTGACATGCAGGCACATCCCTGTGCTTTGGTCCCTTCGGAGGTTTTGTCATAGACCCAGTGGTCACAACTACTCCTGAACCGAACTGCAATAAGGGAGTCAAGTCAATTAAATAAATTCAGTTAAGAGTGGTTCCTAAAATTAAGAATTGCAGTCCAATGAAGGGAACATGACAGAACCAAAGAAACATTAGCTGGTCTCATTCAGAGCCTTTTTTTCCCATTACAGGAGGGTTGGATGTAACTACATTTAGGTGACCTCTGGTACTCAGGAGGGGATGCAGTTGCTGTTGACAAAGTCCTGCAAAGACAACATAAATAGTCTTCAGGTGGATTATTTGTACTGCTTCTGTGAGGTGGAAGGAGAATAAGAGGAGAGAGTGGCTTGACTGTAATAGTGATTTTGTAGCACTTGGTTGTAGATGACCAAGAAAGGTTATAAATGAAGGCTAAGATGCTTCAGAACTAGTAAAAAGAATTTTGGATGTAACTTGTCCAGTACAAGAGTGTCCTTCAATAAGCTCTTTTTCTGAATTCTGCATGTGTTGTCTGACCAACAGGCACATACTGCAAACCCAAGAGATATGTGTAACTTCTTTCAGGGAGAGGTTGAAACCTCAGTCAAGGGAGAAGGGTGTGCCGGCAGAGAATAAGAAACATGTCTTTAAAAATTTCAAAGTCAAGAATCTGTTTGAAAAGCTGGAACGAATTTTTGCTTGCATGTAGAATTTTAAGACTGATTTTTAATGATGCCGCCGTAGAGATGCGAAATGTTTAACTTGAACTATGCCAAAAATAGTAGAAACACTGTCTAATTTTATAGGCTATGAAGAAAAAAATACCAAGCTATACTGTTACTGCAAAATGGTGCATAGCCATGTGTAAGTATTGCCTAAGTGTTTGAGTGGGAGTGAGTAGCTGTAGTGAAAGAAAATATTAAAACTTTTGTAGTTTCTAATTGTTAATATAATACTGAAGTCCTGCATATTGAAGTGGCTTTAATGTTATCCTGGCTAGAAGGTGGTGTTTTTAGTTTGCCAGTTTATTAGTGTTTAGGAACAGTTATTGAACAGTTTATTAGTATTTAGGAACATTGTCTCAAATCCTTTGAAGTTCTGCTGCTGTAAATATTCTTCTCTCTTCTTTTCTGACAGGAGAGATGTGTGTAAATGAAACAGAAGTAGAATCAAAGTACCACAACTGTACAGCTGAAGAACAGTGTTCTTGTAAGTATTTAGGTAGTCAGCTTTCACATTGTTTAATGTGAAGCAGTTGTGTTTACAACTCCTTCATCTGTTGACCTTTGTTAGTACGCCTTCTACAATTTACATAAGCATGTACAAGTATGTAAATAAGCCCTTTGCTTACAGCTTAAACTTATCATATGTGATACTAAAATACACAGTTTCGTTGTGCATTCAGTTAACTGCTTACTGTTGCTGTTTCGAGAAGCCTGACATGTTTTACTAGACATGTCTCTGGCTACTGCCTTGGTTTCCTAGATTAAAGTGGGTGACATTTCCTGTTAGATATAGCATGTCTGAAGGAACTTGTCAGCATCCTCAAGACAGTAAGCTTCATATTCAACCAAAAAATTTACACCCGCTAAGTCCATTGCTTGGTCTGAGATGCAGTAAATAGGAAATACTTATGTACCTTCCGGTTTTGTTAACTAACGCAGCTCTTCATGCAGTTCTGAAGTGCAGGGTCTGGGTTGTAGAACTGCGTAAGGTAAATCCTTCATGCTAGGACTGTGCTCCGCTGTGCATCTGCTTCAGTCTTTTTGTTAATTTGTGCTTCCTGTGCAAATCAGATTTTCAGGATATGAATAATTTTGATTAAATCTTGAATTTAACTTTTGTGAAAGACCCAAGTTTTAGTTTTTTTGAAGGCCTACAAGAAATGGAATTCAGAATAGGATTTTCTGGTTTTAAGATCTAGAACAGCAAATAAAAATTCTTAATGCTCTTGTCTAGATGAGTTCAATTCAACTGTGCTGCTAAACAGGCTGGCTCACACCAACAGATGTGAAGCTTCCATGCTCCTATGGGCTATCTTGTGGTTGTGGCAGCTAGTCAGAAATAATTCCACTTGAGTTAGACTTGTGTTGTTTCTAAAACTGTAACAATCACCTTTTAATCGGGAGTGTTAAAAGTAGCATTTTTCACTGCTTTCCAAAGGGAGCATGCTGTTACAATGCCTTGTTCTACATCTAAGAGTAGAATCTCTACAATCTGTTCCTGTTAAACTTGTAGTGACTTTATCATGTTGTTGTGTTTTAGCTTCTGTGTGTTCAAGGAAACTGAATTGTCAGCTTTAGTAGAGGATCTTTGTTGATGTGAGGAACCTATATACCTTATCAGCTCTTACAGTGTTATGGCTCGGCACTACCTTCGGGCATTGACATGGAAAAACACTGAGGTGGCCCTAAACTGACTTCATGCAAGTGGGACCTGAGAGAATGTAGATTCTGATATATCCAGCCTATCTCTGTAGAACAGTTGTCTCTGGTTTCCCACCATGCTGAATTGTTTCAAGAGATAAATAACCACATTTAAATGACCCTGAGCATTCAAGGCTCCTGGACATAATGGTATTTCAGCAAGAAGCTTGCTGATGTGTCAGTGTATGATTAAGTAGCAGTTTAGATAAGCTGTTTGTGTATGATTAACTCAGTTAATTAAGTTGCAGAAGGCTTCACAGTGGATTTTTTTACAGTACATACTGAAGCACCTACAACCAGCAAGAGCTCTCAGAACAGAAAGCTTTATCTGAACTTTCAGGTTCTTGAGGATGTCTTGATTTTCCCTCAGTACTGCTTCAGCTGTCTAACCACTCTGGTTTCTAGTCAGACTTGATAGGTCAGGTTCAGATGTAGTTGCAGTGAGGTTGGGAAGCGGTACTGAATACCTAGTTTCCTTTTGTGTAAAGCATGCACAGTTTCTGTTTGTACAATAGGACTCCTCTCCCTTGTGTTCGCTTTGAAGAGTTTTGAGCTGCCGGCTGAGCGCTGGCTTGATCGGGCTGCCTGTGACAAGGTTTTTCATGTATTCACTCATGCAACTTTTCCTGTTAGTGTGGTGGATTGAACATTCAACTGCTTTGTAATTTCAAACCAAAACTATAATAGAACTCTGTGTTACATTAATTCCATAAAACTCAGACTGCTGCTGTTCCATTTTGAGGGGGTTGTTGAGTTAAATGCTGTCATTAATCTCTTTAACGTAACTCTTTATTCTTTCACAGCTCCTACAGTTGTTCCTCTTCACAATACTACTTCGTCGTCTTCCAATACTACTACACCACCTTCCAATGCTACCACAGCATCTTCCAATACTACCACAGCCAGTTCTGCTACCACAGCTCATACTGCTATAGGTAATATAGTACGACTGAACATAGAATGGCAGTAAACTAGGAACTGGTGAATAAAATGAAGGACAAGGGCTTTTACCAGATCGCTGTATTAGTATGGCTACTGAACATGTGATGTATGGAATACATAAATGGTCCCAAGGTCTGGAAGAAGTAGATTTTATAAAACTCTGACAGAAAATGTTTCTTTCCAGAAAATGCTTCTTTGCAATGTAATTAAGAATTGGCTCAGTGGTAATTGTTTGAATTGGATTAGTCATTTCTACTAATCAAGAGTTCCTACGAGTTTGGTTTTTTTATCCAGTTCTAAAATTTCTGTTCTTACATGTGCTGACATCTCAACAGTGATGTTCTTAAAACCAACAAACAAACAAAATCTTGTGTTTAAAAGCATCTGCTGCCTAAGGGAGCTGGGAGGTAATGAGTTAGTACTTGGTTAGGCTCAGAACAGCCTAATGTACAGTAGGGTGATGTTTAGGTTTGAGTAAAGCTACAAATGTTGGCACTTTGTCCCAGCCACACGGTGGAACACTGGTTAATCTTCAGTAATAGTGATCTTAGGGGGTGGTCAGAGACAGTGTTCTGGCTTGATAATGGAATAGCTTTTAGGAGACAGTCTAACTACAGGTGAGTGTGTGCTTATTCACAGTTAGTGTTTTGGGGCAGGGAGAAAGAGGAAGTGTTGCTATCCTGTAAGTGTTTATCTCCTGTCTAGAGATACTACATTAAGTACTTTTTTAGTACAATAAATACTGATTCTAAGGGCTGTTTAATGAAAGTCAGTTGCCTTGATGCAGATTCTCAGTTATCTTGAAACAGCTGTCTTGAGTCTTGTTCAAATACCAGCAGTTATATTAGGGCTTGAAAGAAAAGTGGTTTTGTCTGAACGAAGAATCCCTGTCTGATCTAAGAACCTTTAAATACTTGGATAATAGTGGTCTGCAAGTTTGGGAAAAAAAAAGTCCTTATTGCAGAAACTTGGCTTGATGCCATGCAGCTGAACATCCAAGTTGTGTGGGGTACAGTCTGAGGTCAAAGCTTATCCTTGTTTAAGCAAAACAAGACAAATCATTTACATAAGAACTTCAGTGCTTGCAAACTTTGCTCTTGAAGTTTATGGTATGCACATACTATCTTCTCTCAAACAGCTAACGTCACCAATGCAACTACACATGCTCCTCTGCCTACAACTGCCAGGACTTCAGCCACCACAACACCCAGTATTCCAGGTAACTGCTACTACTAGCATAATTAAAGCATGAACTACTTAGAAGTTAGTGTTGCTTTAAAAGTGGTATCTTAGACTTACCAATTGACAAAATGAAAATAGTATTGATATATCTGCTGTTGTCATTTCTAACTTTATGGCATGTGTAATTTTGTTAAGGTGGTAGGTGTATGTAGCAAGGTAATGCCCTGAGAAACAGCTAGTTGGTGAGGTATTAAAAGTCAGGAATGTGTTAGTCAAATGAAACCGGCTGGCCACTTTTAATAGTGTGGCTGGAAGTCACTTGTTGAGTCACTTACCCTTGGGAGTGTGTTTTCTTTTTCACTTGCAGCATAATAATGGGATACCTCTAAAAAAAAAAAGTGGCAGTGATGGGAATAAGGGGAACCATTTTATTTCAGCATCAGTCCTGAATATGCTATTTCATGAGAAGCTCTCATGAAGTAAAGCTCTTTAAAACTAGCCATCAGCAGATGGTTGTTACTTTCAGATTCATACATGGTTGTGGCTTCGGTTGATTTCTTTAATCATAACTCCTGGGGTAAAGTACAGTAGATGGAAGATAATTTAGTTAGCATTTAAGCAAAAAAACTGGAGCAAGCAGCAGAGATTGGAAAATGTATTTTGAATGTGAGCGTATCAATAATATATGTAAAGGAGGAAAGCTTTCGCTTTTTGAAGTACGAATAAAGTCCATCTGGGACTTGCTCAGTATTGAGGTCCAGAGCAGTTTGGCTATAAATAGCTCTAGCCTTGTACAAACAGTATTTCATCAGAATCTTAGTAACGCTCATCTAAATGCAGCTGCTGACACATCTGTACTTTTGATTAGTTTTTGTTTTCTTATTGGTGTTTGGATGTTTGGAGAAATCTTAGTACAAGGAAGCCAATACTGAAATCTGTAAAACTGTTGTGAGCATTGCACACTCACAAAATCTAATGTGCTGTTTAACAGGTACAAATGCTACTGTGACTCCTGCACCTTCTCCACGCAAATCTACGTTTGATGCTGCGAGTTTCATAGGTGGAATTGTCCTTGTTCTGGGTGTGCAGGCTGTTGTTTTCTTTCTGTACAAATTCTGCAAGTCGAAAGATCGAAACTATCACACACTTTAGGACCTGCCACTTTATAATGGACTAGTAGCCCAACACCTGTAGTTCACTGAACCAAAATATTTTCTGTTGCTCATGGAAGACAGCAGTTCATAATATCCTTTAAATCTCTAAAAGAAGACTTTAAAAGAATATTTTTGCAACATTATACTTGGCGAGAGGTGATATGAATCTCTTCAACAGGATTACTTGCAATATGCTGCATGGGTTCAAATGGCTGTCTTATTTTCCTTTAGTGGCTGCTGCTGTGGGACTTTTTTTTGATATGCCAAATGTAGACATTCAGAGATTCTTATTCCGTGGCAACACTGTCTTGAGTAGACAATCTTACGATGACTTATTGTGAAGGCTAATTTAATCAACATTTGATACAGTATCCCTTCAGTTTTATCAAGATGTGAATTATTGGTGACCGACTTCAGGGAGTGAAATACCATTTATAGTAGCTTATGGCTCTTACAGCGTGCTGCTAGAAAGGTGGACAAAATTATAGAAGTAGATAAGGTCTTGACAAAATAGCATAACCCCTTTTTTTTTTTTACAAGAATAAAGGTTGTCTCATGAAATACTGCATTCCAAACACAAATCCTGTGCCCTTTCCAATTAATGTTGAGGGTGGAGAGGGGAGATTGGGGTAATCCTTCTGAAGGGGAAATGAAGATTAGTGCCTTAAAAGACTAGAAATCGGTAGGCTGCAAAAGTGTCCTGCTTATTTCAAAGATAAATAAAGCTCTTAAGTACTAGCTTTATAGGGGAGAACGGAATATGTGTGGTTGGAGCATTCCGGTTTAAAAACTTTTTTCACTAAACTGTCCCTTATTGACCTTGTTTGAGGGTGAGGAAGCACGGTACAGTAACGTTCAGCTACAAACAGAAGCTTTAAGTTGTTTACCTTTTGTTCTGACCTACAAAGACCAACCATAAAACTAGTGATAAAATTCAGTTCACTCCCTGTTTTAAAAGGCAACAGCTTACATGTGTACTTGAAATACTGGTATTTGGGAAATCCTGAGGTTTTTCTTATTCAAATGATTCTTAAACTCATTGCAATTAATTTCAGGGGTTTGGGGTTTTTTTGTTTGTGTTTGGTTTTGTTTTTGTTTTTTTTTAACCTCCCATATGTCTGCTCGCTGAAAGAGCAATTAAGGGTAGTTCAGAGGATCTGCTGATTTCATCCTGATCAGGATTGCTGTAGTCCTGAGGCTGCTAGGGCTATGCCTTTTTTCTTTCCCCTCCCCCTTGCCTGGCAGCAAGTGATGATGCAGTGAACTGGTTAAGGAAATCTGTTTGGCCAAATAGTGGTGGTTTCTTTTTTTCCCTTGGCTGGATCAGCCATGTGATCTGAATATCGAAGGTGCATCTTCTCCAATCTAGACTGACTGCAGCGCCTGTGGAAATAAACACACAGGAAAAATGGAAGAGGAAATAGAGTGGTGGATATAGCAAATAATACATACTTTTGATGATATCCCTTGATCATCAGTTTCAGGATAATCTGTGGTACTGTCTTACTAGCTCTGACTGGAATTTGGCACCTAATACAAAACGATAGCGTTAGTGCAGATAAGTCATGGCAGTGAAACTTCAATATGAAGCAAATTAAGTGCACTTCAGTTGGAAACTTAAAGTGCACAGTGTTGCTTTCTTGTGTTCTTCTAGTTTGAATGGCATTGTTTCTGTTGTGCTGCATAGAAAATGAAAATTGCTACAAAATACAGAAGTTACTCACCAGTACTGTATCTTAGAGTTCATCAGCTTTTGGTTTTCTGAATAAAACTAAGACAATCAGCTCAGGTTTATTAAAACAGCAGAGTGAGCAGCCAGTTTCCAGCAACAGTATGTGTGTGGGTTAGATGGTATATCCTTGGCCTTATTGTGAAATCACTTAATCTATCTTTTCCCTATCTCAGAACTATTTTATTACATTTATTGGTTTAAAAAGATACCCATGAGCTTGTATTCTGTGCTTTGAAGTGAGCGAAATACTCTTCTAGTGTGACAGTTCTCCTTCAGCTCAGCAAAGCAAACTATGCCTAGTATATGATTATTTTCTTTTTGGCCTCGAAGGGCTATCTTTTGGGAAACTTGCAGAAAAGTGCTAGAGAACACTTCATAGCATGGAAGACATTGCTGCAAAAAAAAGTTGTTGTTCTGTAAAATGTGGCTAAAATGCTTATTCATGAGCTATACTGATCCTAATTTAGGTTGCTGGTAAAGCAAACTAAAAGTAATTTTTAAAGTGCCTTAAAGTTGCTTAATCCTTTGCCTCAAATTTTGTTTAAAAGGGTAGAAGGGATACCTTGCCTTAGTTACTAAATTTTTCTTGGTGCCAGCAATTGCTACTTTCCAAGACTTTAGGAAACCCAGGATCTCTGACATGTACAGATGCCAATCTGAAAAACTCAAGCTTGTGTATCAGTTTAGTCGTGTTCTGGAAGGCCTGCACTGTGCACCGCTTGCTCGTTAGCCTTGCCGCAAGGTATAATCCACCGTTTACAGAGTTGTGGCTCGGATTGTTTCCCTTTCAGTTGTTTGGGGGGAGGGAGGCTGGGTTATACATCTTCACCATGTGCTTGGCTGCCTCACTATAGAAAGTAATTACTCCTTTGTGAAATAGCAGCATCAGCTGCTCTGTGCTGTGTACTAGCAAAAAACCTGAAGTAACAACTTGCAGTTTTTCTTGGCCTTGTGTTTTGAAGTGGAAGGTAGCTCATAGGTCTGTAGTTGTATTTGCCCCTAAATCAATCTTAGGCACTGAACTGTAGTGACTCTTCAAGTTATCTGGCTTTTTCTTGAAGCCAACCTGTGCAAACATCGAGCTGTTATCTTACGAATGTTCTCTGCAAGTGTTGCTGTAAAAGTTTGTATTTTGTCTTCAGTGGAAGAAAACTGAAACAGTTGTAATCGCAAAACCAAATTGATAAATAAAATCTGTTGAATGGAATTTTACTTGTCAACTTTCTTTAATGTGAGCAATGCCAGAGGGGACTGTGCCAGCTTTCTGGAGATGAGCCGTGTTCTGTAGGAATTAAGAATCTG